TGCATAAATTTCATACATATAAGAAATAGTTTGTAGGAATTCTTTTGGTTTCAGGTTAGACCATGGATTGATATAAGTTAGAGAACCACTGAAAACCAACAGGGAGTAATGGACAGCTGTTTCGTCCTAGTTTCGGACTCATCGGCAGTACGCACCCACTGCCAGGGTTCAAACTCAGAACCTTCCGCTTACAAGGCAAGTTCGTAGACCATTCAACCACTGGGACTTGACTCAGTGGCTAGCTAATGAATTCTAACTTCTACCAATTGGTGGTTTTAGCGCGACCACCAAACTAGGATGAACCAGCTGTCCAGTACACGCGGGTTTTTAATGGTTCTCTAACTGATATCAGTCTGTGTTATAAACTGAAGCTAACATAAGAATTAAAGATATAAACTTGATATAAAGCCAAGCTTTCTCCTATATGTCCACTAAATTTTATACAATTTATACCATTCTTGATAAAATTTTCTCTTCTATACCATAAAAACTTAGTTTAAGTCATTGCAAAATGATCGCCTAACACTCTACTTAACTGATGAAAATAACTTCCATAGAGATTTCATCACGAATAAATATCAGTTACAGAGTCATTGCAAATCAAGAAGCACTGATCAGCTTTACCGCCCTAGTCAGACCCCTGACTCCACTAGGGACAAAAAACAAGGCCTTAAGATTATGAGTTCTGCCCATTGATTCTGTTGACCAATTTTCATTAGTTTTCTACGATTCTCTAAGTGGTGTCCGTTTACGACAAAATCTACATTAAAACTGATTGAACCCCCTGCAAAACTCCAAATGTGATGTGTATAATCTTGTGATTAAACCTTTCTATTCTGTGAACAGCTGATCATCCTGAGGGAAAATGAAATATGAGGTTACAGGCGTGGATACATAACTTACAGTCGTCATTAATTCTGGCAAAAAACATTAATTTATTTCCAAGATGAAACTAATGCATAGCAGATACAAGACACACGAACAGTAATATCATAACTGCTTTAGATATTTATATGCCCTGTTTTTTGAGTGATTTCTTTTATTGTGAACTTTTGATTTGACATTGTCTAAAGGATAGGCTATTGCAAACGTTTCTTTAAGGGCGAAAAAATTTAGCCATACAATAGACTAGAAGTTTTTCACCATCCTAAATAATCGTGAATCAATCTTCAGTAAACGGATGTTACACCAATCAAGAGATTTCTACCTTTTAAAAAAAATTTAACATGTGATTACAAGGTGAGTGCATATCAATGAGAAATCTAACAAAGAAAGTTATGGTAAAATTATAGAAACAAGTTCATCTTACTAAGAATATATATGTATCTATTGGTCTATAATTTACATTAGTATTGTTTTCTGTATTTTCAGGATTTTTATAGCCATAAGATTTCGTTGGTATCAGATGAGTAGAATTACAACCTAAGCTGTCTGGCACGACGATGGAGATTTTTGGATAGGTGAAAAGTTTATCTTTGTATCCTTGAGCACCTTAAATATTTAGGTTAAATCAAACTAACAGATCTGTTTTAATTACAACCACAGAAAAGCTGTTAGCCTTAATTTACGCGTTCTCTCTAAATGCATCACAATATTCAGGCAGCTAGTTGACATGTGACAACTGGTACAGAAACAGTCAGCCATTGTAGAGACTTAGCCTGAAACATCTAATAACTTGTAAATACTCAATTAATTGAATAACAGACTGCAGGATCACCACTGACTGAAGTCCATATTCGTGAACGCAGACGATTACGTAATTTCATACATTTTTATACGGTTCATACTGGCATGCAAACGTACGGGGAAATCTGACTAACTGTTTGACTAGTCAGTGTAGAACGTCTCACAAAAGTATATCAGTTTTAGTTAGAGAAGACCTATCTATGTGGTTCAAACAAACAATCAAAGACCTAATAGATTGGTAACATGTATTTAGTCTGATCATCTCTAACATTATTCTAGTCAAATCCTACTTCAGCTGGCGTTGGTCATCAAGGCAAGTGGTGTCTCGGTATGTGCAAGATATATCCTGGCCCGATAAGTTGATGGGATTTAGTTTGGTTCAATATCAAGACAATTTAAAGATAAAACTTGGGCACTATGGTCTTCCTACTAGGAAGCTTATCAACAAACTCATGCAACTTTGTCAATCAGAAGCAAGATTCACAAACCGTTGAATTTTCAACAGCCGGTGTTTAAAAAACGATATAACTCTTAGATACTTCCGCCTACGTACTCCAATTAAGTCAAGGAGAATAACATCAGCAGAGAAACATGTAAGGAGTTTATGTTTTAGAGAAGAAATACATGGAATTATTATGAAACTAAACAAATACGAAGTGAAATTGAAAAACTCATCCACAAATTGAGATGTATGATCAGTGACAAAGATTATGAAATTGTGACTGAAACATCTAAAACAAAATCTGGAGAAACAAACTTAGGGAAATCAAAAACCACGCAAATTAACAAATTCAACCAATGATTAGAAGAAAGGAACAACACAATAAATCAAGAAGTTGACAACACTGTTTCATCTTCTGTTGACAAGGCAAAGTGGGTAATCAACCTCTTATCAAGAGACTTAAGCTCTAGTGCGATAAAACTACTTGAAAAAGGATTAAATTTCAGTGTAACGGTTAATGAACTAAAACCAGAGGATGTCATCCCTAACGGAGAGATAGCATTAAGTTCAATAGATAATATGACAGTCGAAAAGGTTCGAGTACAGTGTTCATTAACTCTAAAAAGAACAAAAGAAATCACAGTCAAATTTAACAAAATCGAAAAGGCTACCTCTAACCAATCTTAAAATGGATAAAAACACTGTTATCACAAAAGTCGACAGTAGTTCTGGATCAATCTGACTATGTAAAGAAAGTCTTTGGATACATTGAAACGGGTCCAAATGAGGAAATTAGGATCAAGACGATTGTCTGGACACTTTTCAAGTTGAAAATGTTATCATATGAACAAAAATGCTCTCTGTTTATGAAATCTATTCTCATGTGTTTGCAGTTGGTTTTTGTAGCCATTGTAAACACTATTCAAAACCATTCAACTGGTTAAATTAGCATGGACAATTAACTGAAGGATATATATGAGAATGAAGCACGAAAGGCAACGTGATAAACTTAGTGAAATGAGATACAGCTTTCATTAAAGTGTTATTATTAATCTAACTAATAAAGGTGTACGCTGTAATAAGTATTTTTGTATGAGAGTAAAGAGAAAAAGTCAGTACAGGTCAGTAGAGATTTCTACTACCACGACAATCATAAGTTGATTACATGTGTAGGATTATAAATGATCCTTAGTCATATTGTAATGGTACTTGTCACTTAGTATCTCCAAATAGTCAAATTATTTACACCTTTTCTTCAAATCACCATTTGCACAGATCTTCCGTGTTGTTCTACTTCTAGCCTTCTTTCATATTGTCTACGTTTCTTTGTGTTCCTTTCACGCCTGTCATATATATCCGCAACTCTGCATCATTTGCTTTCTCTGACATCAAATCTTTCTACCCGCTATTTGAAGTTTGTATACCGATGAACTTCTCTTTGTATGCCACTGATAAATCTTATCAGTAGCATACGGTACAATATCGAAAAGAGTTTTAAACTTTTATCCCGAACAATTGTAGAACTTCAGTAGACTAATTTGTGCCTTCATTTACAGCCCAAACCAACCATCAGAGACTCGATCACTTATTTTTTATGATCTGATGACTTTAAACTTCTCTCCTAGTTGAAACCAATTGTTTTATTCCTTTGCATTCCCAGTGGAACATAGGGCTTCAGACTTGAACTTTGAAATTTCCGTAGCAGTGGTCTTATTTCTACGGGGTGGAGTTCCTAGCCTCGAACCCAACCTTCCCTCTCTACTGGGATTACTACCGCCTTGGCAAGATTTAGCAGGGTGTCGACCGAGGATTGTACCCAGGACAGCGTCCGTGGTTGGAGAAAGTTCTGTTGCTGAGCCACCCCTTCTCTGAAGTTATACTGCTCGTCAAGAAAGGCAGATACTTAAAGTGCCTAAAAAATTTCCAAATCACCTTAGTCAACAGAAATTTACAGTCCTGCAGTTGATGTACTTTTTGTACCTAGTGCTGTCAGTCTAATCTCAGTATCAATTATTTACTATGTGATTTAGCCGCACCAGCCGTCAGAAGCCTTAATATAGAATGAAAATACGAAACGGTAAACGCATGCATATTATATATATGTTATGAATAACCAAGTATTTGGTCACATAAGTTTGTAGTTACTACACTATTCCGTAAAATCTGTTTGTTACTGAGGTCTATATTGTGATGGTTTTTGAAATACACTTGATTGCGATTAAACTCAGTATCTGCCAAAGCTAATCTGTTTATCTTAATCCATTTAGATATCAGTACATTACTGACTGTTAAAAAAGACTTTCTACTTAGATAAGTTTCTATACATTTTGCAGGCATTTACCTGTAAAAGATCTAACTTAAGTCTGATTTTTTGTGACATGCCTACGAAGATTTTATCACAAAATCGTATAAAAACCAATGCACAATATTAGATGATAACATACACTATGTATTTCTACTAGTAGAAGGGTAGCAAGAGGTAGTAATGATACAGTTCGTCTCTAAAATTTGCTGTCCCCTCGATTTCCGTAATCATTCTGCTAGACGGCATCGACAAAAGCCAAGGAAATTACGAAACAAACTTTATAAAAAGTACAACCAAGTTTATGCGTTAATGGTTCAGCGGTAGAACACCCATGAAATATGCGTGTATTCCAGGGTTCAAATCTTGGCTTACTTGTTCTCGAATCTCGCCTAGCTAGTAGTAAAATCCGTAAAAAGAGAAAGTGGGACGTTAGGCCAGCGACCTCACCCAGTAAAATGAAGAAACAACTCCTACTAAAACTTTAATGCTTGGAGCCTTGTATATTCCACTCGGAACTCCAAGGAATAAAAGAAAAATCTACAACCAAATTTTTAAAAAATTACTTACTTTCTTAACATCATAACCATTATCTGTAAACCATCGATTGAGTGTTGTAATACGCCGTTTTGTACCGCCTTCTTCATTATCTCTAATATAACTATCACTATGCTTTTGTACAGCATAATTAGTTAAATGCATATACATATCATGTACATTACGTTGATTTGGTTCAGCATATGAACATGTAGTAAAGCGCACTAAACCATCTTTAAATACAAATAAACGCAGTGGATCACACGAAGTCAGCAGAACATATATCCTCATATCAAATTTATATCCATCGATAAGAAAAGGCTGTAGAAAATCAAAAAATTGAAAGACATTTATTCTTTTCTTTTATAAAATTTGCTGAAACAACTCTGTCTAGTTTAAAATTATAATTTTATTTTAAAACATTATTTTAGTGAATATTTTTTGACTGATTGATATGTAATAATGAACAGAAGACTTGTAAAGGCGGCCTGTTTAAAATTTGAGCTCCTAATAACCTCCATCAATATACTGCACATAGTTTCTCTCATTCAGTTTGTTTAAATCTAGTAAAATATGACCTCTAGTAGTGTTGTATACCCTGGCAAATATTTAAAACACTTAAAACCTGCTGATTCGCAAGTTTCTACTAAACGTGAGAAAAAGCATTATTCTCGATGGCAGTTTATCCCAGTACATGAGATGACCGTTCCTGGGTGGTATCCCTCGTTCACAAAATGTGCTCCTGAACTTTTTATAATTGGCATTCACCAAAATGTCGTCGTGTATTTCTCGAAGGAGACGAAGAAGAGATATCCGGCTTCTGATTCACAAGTTCCTACTTAAATTTAGAAGTGGCATGATTGTGGGTGGCAACGTGTCCTTATACATGAGATAACTGTCTTTGAGTTATGTACTTGCGTCTAAAAATATACTTCTGAACTTCTTAAAATTGACTTTCTACTAGATGTCATGGATTTCTTAAAGGAGACAAAGCAGAAATATCACAATAGAATGAATATACTGTCAATTAATATTTTACTTGAAGATGTTGTACGAAGGGAAAATATCGTGCAATAAACTCCTCTGAAACTCGTGTAAGTTATATAAATACTGTTCAGAATAAAGCTCTCATTATTATTAAACTGGTGAATATTCGTCATCCATGTTTTAGATGTTTTGACTAAAGAGTACTGATCGACAGAGTTAAGAGCAAGCCCAACCCTTGATGGAGTTGTGATTGCCCATCTCTGATAAGCCCCAAACTAGAACAAAACAGCTATCCAGTGCCTTTTGGTTTTCAGTGATTCTCTAACTAATTCGTCGGTTCTTGACAAAATCTACACTGAATTTGTTTTACTCCTTAACTTTCCCTAGACAGATATAAAAATAGTGTCTAGTTATTCGAAGTTCCATTTATAATAACTCAGTCTTACACAGTAACAAAATCGACGACAGGAAATTTGTTATGACAGTTCATCAGTGTAACTTATTATGATCTTTACTGGTAAAGTAACAGGAGTTCAACAAAAGAAGCATAATATTGCAGTAAAGCACATAGCTGAAAATCTATACATAAATAGCTGAATGCTAGAAGTAAATTGGAGGTGCAGATGAATTAAATGAACCACAGAACTGACGGGAAATTCAACTTGGTAACGTTTAAATCTAGGAGAATCTTCTTCTGAATGTCAACGAACTTATTTATCACTGTCTTGTCTAGATTTAGTCAGTTCATAACTTTTTTACCAAACGTTCATTTCACCCACTACTAATTTAAAGTACAGCAGTCAGTAGATCAATATTCTCAACATAATATTCCAACTGTCTGAGTCACTGAAAATTTTAAAATTTTTTGCGGAACTGTCCAACAACTTTATTTGAAACCACATACATAATGCTCACATCAAAATAGAACAACTATTCAAAAATTATTTCATTTTTCCTTCAGCTGTCATTTCTGACATTTTTAAAAAATGCTTCAGAAGAGAGTGCAATACAGCACCCATTTACTAGTTGTACTTTTATGGATGTTTAAATAACATCACTGGAATTCTTATCAGTATGGTAACTTTCCCAAGGAGGACTAAAGAACAGCTTGATTTCGATGAATAGCGCAGGCCTCATACAATCTTGAAATACCAGCAGAAGAAAAGGCGTTTTTGTGGTATCGATATACTCAAATCACACATTATGATAGCGAAAACAGTTGCAGGGAACCTTAGAACATCCTTAGACCTGAAGGGTCTAGAAAAGTTGCATGTGATTCCTGATATCGATGTAACCGTTTCAAATGATGATCTATCCATCCTTAGCAAATAGATGTAGAACATGAAAGAGTGGAACTACGAGTTCACTTCATTAGACCACAAGATGACGAAATAAACGATGGTACTGGAAGTGGTATCATTCTAGACGACTCACTTTGGGGAAAACTCTTCATCCAAATCTAATGGCAGGTGGTTACGAGCCAGTCGCAATGTACTGCCTTTCTGTTCTGGAAAAAATCGGTGTTAGGTCTGAGTTCTCTACTGAGAAAAGAGAACATCTTATCATGGAAGCTGTTACGACAACTCCAGTATCGTAAATTGTCAACCGGTATCAGAGAATCTGTACCAAAAATGACAGTTGATGCAGCCCTCATCATTTACTCATTTGGAATGTAATGAAGTGGATTTCAAATCTATCAGAGTTGAAAGGAAGGTTGTTGGCTATCTTGAAGACTTCTTGTTGGTCAAAGGCGTGATTGTTAACGAAGATTTCTCTCACCTCTAAATGCCGAGGTCAGAGGAATATTCAAGACTAGTAATTTTGCGTGTCTTTTCCAATCACCGAAAATTAAAACAAAGTGCAAACTGTTTGTCAGGTCTATCGACGATTACAGCAAATTAAGAGATTATGAACGAAAGAAATTGGAGGAAATTGTGAAAAGAGTTAAAGACAATGGCTCTGATTTGGTTGTTTCTCTGTGCGGTTTCGATGATGAAGCCTAACATTTGTTATTGAGTGAAAAATCACCTGCTCTCCTATGGGTTAGTGTCCTTGAAGAAGAACTGATTGGGATTGCTATCTGATTAGAGCTAAACTTGGAAAGGTTGATATGGTGAGTGAACTGTCATTTGATGCCACTGAGGAACGCATGATCATGAGTAGACAGGGTGAAAACTCGAAAACAGTAACATGCTTCCCGAATGGCAGTTATCGAATGATTGTTTCTTGCGTGATGCTCTTAGTGTTGTTTGCAATCTGGTCCATGATTCTCAAGTTATTGTTTATGGTGAAGCTGATCCCTGCTCTCAAATCGTCTTCACTGGAAATTTTAATTAGTTAATATTTTCAAGAGTTAATTTGTGAGGATTAGATTTGTTTTTCGAGCTTGACCGCGGGTTGACATCAGTTAGAGAACCATTGAAAACCAACAGGGGGTACTGGAAAGCTGTTTTATCCCACTTTGGGACTCATTGGCGGTACGCATCCACTGGGTTTCGAATACAGGACCTCCCACTTATAAGGCAAGCTCGTATACCATTCAGCCACTGAGACCCGATTTAATGGCTAGCCCATGAATTCTAGCTTCTACCAATTCGTGATTTCAGTGCGACCACCAATCAATGTCATCGGCGGTGGCACAGTGGTTAGGACTCTCACCGACCATGCACATGGTCCGGGTTTCGATCCCCTGCCGACGCACACCCGATATCTATGGTCGGCCTGCAAAATTTGGGCTACCGATATCCATGCTGAAAATGCCATACTTGTACTGAAAATACGGTGTGACATCAAGCTGTAATCAAAAATAAATAAAACTGGGTGAACCTTACTGATAACGACTTCTCACTAGAACTGCAGGAAACCCCATCCTGTAGCCATTCACTAGCGAGCATCAGATTAATTTTCAAGAGTTGATTTGGTAAGAACTAGATTTGTTTTTCGAGTATGCCCATGGATTGCTAGAATAGCTTTTAATTCCACTATAAAACAGTCATCATGAAAATGGATACAAACGTAATCCTACAGAAGCTGAGCTTAGTTTTACCATAAATCCTAATGATAATATGGTTTCATTAATTAATTTATAGGTGTCTTTACATGTATGCAAATAATCATGCTTTTTCGATTAGTGTGAACTTCTTTCTCTGTCGATGTAGAATATTTTATTCCATGCTACTGATTATTTGAAAAGCTGATTTACGTCTTGATTTTTATAATAGTTAAGACTCTGTATAATTTTCAAGTCTGTAGAGTTCAATATGGTAAAATCCCGAGTGATTTCTGCTAAAACAGTTCATGAAGACATTGACTAGTGAGCTAAGTATCAGAAAAGAGTTTAATTAAATTGACTAGGTCAGGTGACACAGAAGAATGATGCACTATAATGCACTTTACTTGGATTTTAGATGAAATGCAAACATAGAGAAAAAAAATACAAAACGTTTTGAAGTTCACTCCTGTCTCGTGTCGACTAATTTATTCACTAGATAACAAACTCAATCAATAAATTTCTGATAATATTTTAAACCACACAACCATAACTTTGTTTTAGAGTTTTCTCTCTGAAATTCAACCGGTGTGTAAGTTACTATTAGGTCAGAGATATAACATAAGCAGTAAGCGTTAATGGAGAAATAAATGAGTTTCGAAAATTCTAAAGCAGTGAGTGATTTATGCAGTGATAGGTGGTAACCATTGATAACATTTAATACTGTTGCGGTACATTTTGTGATAGCTTAAGCTGATGTACACTAAAGTTTTGCTTTTATTATACAATCACTATTGATTATATTGAATTTTATGGGATTTATATTTGTTTATTTAAAAATTTCAGTTACTGTGAATAATTTGTTGTAAACTGATTTATGTATTGGAATGAAATCCTGGACGTCAGTTCTATTCGCCACTCTTTAGTTCCCAAAGTATTTGCATTCCAGTGAACAGTCGTGTTTCCAATAGTACTTGAAGTCGACATTTGTAAAAAATTATATTTGTAAAATCTCAGCGAGATTGAAATGAGTAATTCCAGCGTTTCTTCCGGCAATCTGGTCCGAACTTCTTCAGGGAAATTAATCGAAATTAACATAAGAGAGGTTTATATATAAAAAGGAACATCACTTGTTTTTAAAAACTTTGTCCAATCATGAGTCATTCAACAAGTATCAACAAGTATAATAAACAAAATTTTATGAGCTGTGATCAGAATTTGACCTCGGACTTACAAATATTGGTCTACCTCAGTTAAACACTTTAAACAGAGTGTGTATATGTGTGTGTGGGTAAACAGTTGTAAAACATTTCTTAACGTCTCCATAAGAAGATATGGACAGTCGAGAATTTTGACCAAGTATTAATAATTAGTGATACATATCCATTTGTTATTTATTAATAAGGATTTCCTATGCATCAGCTAACATCACGCCTTCATGTCTGTTCAAACCGTTAGTATCTAGAATTTTATGATTAGACGTATTTTCAAAATTATGGTGTTTGGGATTAGGGTTTAGTAGAAGCACCCTGTCGGACTTATTGCTTTGTCTTCCTTCTGAAGGTTGAGCTGCTTTATTCGACCTACTGGAGTTGTCAGGTGACTAGGCAGCTACGGATTTAGGATATGCATTTAACAAACGTAGACCAATATTTGTAAGTCCGAGGTCAAATTCTGATCACAGCTCATAAAATTTTGTTTATTATACTTGTTGATACTTGTTGAATGACTCATGATTGGACAAAGTTTTTAAAAACAAGTGATGTTCCTTTTTATATATAAACCTCTCTTATGTTAATTTCGATTAATTTCCCTGAAGAAGTTCGGACCAGATTGCCGAACGAAACGTTGGAATTACTCATTTCAATCTCGCTGAGATTTTACAAATATAATTTTTTACAAATGTCTACTTCTCACTCGGCACCCAAATATTTTAGAACTATTCTGTCAAATCTTGACGACAGTTCATTTGAAAGACTTGAAGTCATTACGCATAGTCCGAACCACCAAGCTGCTGAGTCGCTGTCACCCAGCACTTACCTAATAGTCTAGAAGTTGTATCAGGGTTATCTAAGTAGGAAGCCATATGTCAAGAGAAACCTATCAATTCAGTTCACTATATACATATATTTATTTGCAGAACTTAATTACTTGTTGGCAGTTAAACTTTTACTTCAACTTCATTGACCTCGAAAAGACCTTCAACAGACAGTATTGACCGAGAAGTAATTTGAAAACTACTTCAACGCTACGGAGTGCCTCAACTCTTTATCAACCTCATTCAACAGCTGGCTATATGACATTTCCACGTGCCAGGTGATCCACAACGAGAAACTCAGAGAGGCGTTCGAATTGAATACATGAGTAAGACAAGGCTGCCTGCCTATTACCCCACCTGGTGACATTCTTGATTCTGGTGGACTGGATTGTGCGTCAGACTGTTGGAAGCGAGGAGACAGGAATACGTGGGACCACCGATAAGAAGACTCTAGAAGATCTGGATTTTGCAGATGATATGTGTCTAGTGTCACACAAACTCGAAGACTTACAGGCGAAAACCAACAAACTGACAGAATAGACTAGCAACAAAGACAGGACTCCATGTGAACATAGAGAAGACGGAGGTGATGAAGATAACCAACAAACTGCAACAACAACAACACCCAGCACCAATCACCATCAACGGGAGAGATTTAGCGGAGTTTATTTCCTTCACTTATCTAGGAAACATCGTTCAACTACAGGCGGAAGGGATGAAGATGTCAAGGCCAGTGAGAGCCGGAAATGCAAGAAACGCCTTCATCAACCTGAAACCAGTTTCGAAATTTTCTGCTTCACTCAGTCAGCGTGAAGAATTAGATTCGTATTTTCAACAAAAATGTTAAGTCGGTCTTTCTTTACGGGTCAGAAACTTGCACAATACATCGCGAAAGGCATTTCCAACGGACCACTGAAGACTTTTATCAACAACTGCCTTCTTCACCGGATGGCTCTATATTGAAGATCAAAAGGCCGGCCGGTCAGAAAGAATTAGCAACAAGATACTCTGGCTGGGAACAAACCAGCCAAGACCTCATTGCTCAGCAAATATGTAGAAGAAAATGGAGATGGATCGGACATACGATGAGTAGGCCATCGAATGACAACGTGCACAATGCGACGCATAGCTCTAGTGGAATTCCAATGGGTAGCGGCGACGAGTGGGTCATCGGTGCGACGGTGATATGGAGGAGATCGTGTGACGACGAGAAGATGAGAGATTACGGGCAATCGTAGGCCCTGATGAAGAGGACGGCAGAAAATAGAACAAAGTGCATATGTGTTGTTGAAGCCCTATGTTCCACTTGGAACCCGAGGGAATAATAATAAAAAATAATAATTACCCAGTACGGGGCTATGAGTAACATTCATTCTGTGGTGGTTAGTGATGCTACCCAGTTGTCTGCACTAAAGTAGACAAAGAGGGACGTTAACTAGGGACCCTGCGACTGAAAATCGATTGCTCAAGGAAATCTGCCATATGCTGTGCTCAATTCAATGAAACAGATAACGAGAAATCCTCTAATTTAGGAATATATATAAAGTAAAAAGTAATAAACTCATAAGAATTTATTATACGATATTTTATGTATTTACCTTAGATATATACACTTGACAAATCATATTTTCCAATGGTCGAATATCTTTAGCATTTTTAGTGATATAAATACCACGACCTTGACATCCATTATCTGGCTTTAAAATGTACGTTTTACTCTTATGTTTTCTTGCATAATTTTGTATTTCATTCCAACTAATAAAAGAAATGAAACAGATAAATGTAAAGTATGAAGTGTAGTTGTAGTAATAAAGTCGATTTAAAGTTCATTAACACTAGGACAGGATAAAAGTTCTTTCTGATAAATTGGTAAACGGAAATATTCCCTACAGAATTGTTCTACAGTTATGTTTCTCTTATTTAATTCACAGTGATATGTGTTCAAAGTAAGTTTTCTAACAGTTGATAAGATATTTAACTAATGATACCTACCAGTCGGAAAACTAAGACCATATTTTCTTTTTAGTCGAAAATGGCAAACATAATTCAACACAATGTTCCTGATCACCAGGATTCAGATGGAACTAATGTGAACTACGATAGGATTAGGTTAAAAAGGAGTTAGGGGTGATCAGACCCAGGTATGGTACTAGCTCATAGAGTCTTTGGCTACTGATTTGAGCCACAGAGAGATGTGTTGACTACATGGGCGAGGACATCGGAAGGCTAGGAATCAACGGTTGGAAGCTATTGGTGTCATGGTTCAATATCCTTTTTAATAACACAGATGTATTCACTCTTTGTGATTCTCCACCTTAATTATATACTGATTATTCTTTGTTTAAGTACCCTTTATGCCATACATTTCAATTTATTTTAGTTTCATTGAATCGCTTCCATGCGCTCTTCTAAAATGTGGTAACCCCAGCTGTCTTGTACAAAGTTCTACGTTAATAAACTATTTCACCTTGGTTCATGTAAGAACTTAAATTCTTTCTACCATGTTGGCTGAAATTCAGCACGATATTTCTTTAAACCATCTAGCTCTTCGTTCAACCACATAAGTCTTGCAGTCAAGAAGAGCCATTGAATTTTAGCCAACTCTGGTTCTTACCGCACTGATTATGCCGACTGGAATGCATTTTTCTCATCGTAATGTATTAGATGTTTACACAAAAATCTAAAGGCTCTTAAACTGGATAAAAATGATTAAAAGAAAATTGATGGTTCTCATACTTTAAAATATCAAAACCTGTTTGACTTTTATTCATGTTCCTTAAGAACTACCATTCATTCATTTACCATTTGTTAATTATGTGCGCCTCAAGAAATTACTGAAATTCTGATCAACATGGTAATGAATTACTAAACTAATTGAAGTGTTTCAGGTGTATGAGTTGATTATTTTGAGATTAGTGTTCACCTGTAAGCTTCTATCTAAACCTGATGCATTTTGTATTATACCAAACCGAAATCAATCACTGCATGAATATAAGTGCTAGTTTTTATCAAATTCGTTTGGTCATTTTGTCAGTAAGTAAAATCCTACAATGAACAAACTGAGGTTCATCATGAATTTTAAAATAAGTTAAATTCCTATAAATTAAGACTTGAAATTTATTTACTGCTCCCTAGTGGCTGAAAACAAGATGAAGTTGCTTGGATTTCAAGGTCCACTATGGTCTGTGTGAGGACAAATAGTCGCCGATATCATTGGCTGGCGTTTACGCTAAAAACTTCTAATCGACAGAAGTTAGAGTTGACTGGCCACTGGATTGCGTCCCAGTTAGGTTATACCCCTAATAGATTAATGTGTGCTCATTGCTGAAGAGTCACAAACAAGGACGAATCAAGTCTCCAGTACTCCGTGGTTTTCAGTTATTCTCTAAATGAAGTCACTGTGTAATCGACCTTAGAATAAAATATACCTCTGGGACCAATTTGATATATTTATTCGAATACTGAGAGAATACTGTGGGCTGTGGGTAGTGGTATATAATGTGAATCCAGTCTTCATATGAAGAATATTTTATCTTCATACGTCACAGAGAACAAGAATGGCTTAGTTATACATACAATTTTTTCTTCAGTCATTCTGACAGAAAACCTGAATAAGATTTTGTAAAAATGTTTAATATTTTTAGAAGATATTTGTAGGAGAATACATCTATACTATTACAATTGGTATTGTGAAGTGGAACTGACAATTAACAATTAACCTTAACTTCACAGGGTTTTCATATAAGTAAACTACACTTCAGTTCGAACCCCGTTCTGTCTACATCAGGTATCAAACAAGTGTGGCAGACATTACTGCAGATGTAAAATTTGCCCCAAATAAGTAAGTTCAAACTAACCGAGCTTAATTATCAAAAAATTTCGTTGAAATGTTAAGTCTGTCATCATTTGTTCAGAAGTTCCAAACATACACTCTTAACCGCTCAGAATTAATTTTCACTCTCTCGATATCACTTGATTCGAAGTTCACCAAAGTATCTCAAAAAGTTGTGGTCAGCTGTCAAATAGTTCGTTGGACAGTTAGTGATTATCACGAACCGGCTGGTAGGCCAAATTTATAATCAAAGAAAAATCTACTTCTAGGAGTTAACCTTAAGTGTTATATGCATTTAAATATTGCGAAATAAACTGGTGAGATTTTCATACCAGGAACTCCCCAGTTATGTGAAAAGTAACATTTTTGAAGGCCATCACTTACTGGCTGGCTGAAATTAGAATTTTAAGTGACAGCTAGCATTCTAATGTTCCATCAGTAAGTTACTTCATGTACATTCATTCATAAATCGTTTTAAAACTTGTTATTTGTTTCCGAAATTGCCTATTTGTCTCTTTTTTTGTAAATTTCATCTTTATCCCATCTTTCGTTTAACTAATCTTAATTTTGCCATATCGATTAAACCTGTAGACTTAGGTAATTTGACGACAAATGAGTTTGAAAGTGAGTCAGTTAGTTCATAACAAAGCTTTTTAAAAGCTGAAAATATTTCTTTTTGAAGAAAAGTATAATATTAGTAGAAAATAAACTTACTCAGATGGAAGACACCAAGATTTAGGGAAGATGTTATAATCTTTAGGAAACAATCGAACCATTCGATTTAAATTACGTGCCAAACTGTCTTTGCGACATATTTCTGACATTCCAGGAAAGTGATTTATCTTCTGTTTAAAACAAAAATAAGCAAACAATGAATAAAAACGTACAAATATGGAAACTGCATTTATTTAGACACTTATTTGCAAATAGAAATAGTGTCAAATAGTACTTCGTTTTTAGTTGAAATAATATGAATTATCATAGAAGATGCAAGAGATTACAGTATTTAAATATCAATCAGAGGTGAAAGTAGATTTTAGTTATTTCTAAAGATTTTTATATAGAGAAAATATTCATTTAGACATCTAGAGAAAACAAAAAACTGAGCAAAGAATATCCCTTTCGATAATTTCCTCTTGTCACTCTACAATTATATATATATATATATGTTCATATACATAGAATATTCTAGAATAATCGTCGTTAGCCATATTGGTGTTTTTAATTACTATCGATTTTTTAATTAATATCAATGGAATCAAAGTTCAAGAAAGACGCTTAAATTATAACAAGCATAAAATGTAATAGTAAACAGAATATCAAATAAAATTAAGGAAATTTCCACGACAAATTGAGGATCATTAAAACCTTGATTGACGGTCAAAGCAAGGATAGTGTCTGAACCAACCAAATTCTTTTGGACACATAATTAAGGTTTCTTAATGTGGATCCCAACAGCCAGCCTCAGAAATATGTAGTAGACGAACTCTTAAGGTGAAGTTAAGATTAGTTGGTATGCGGTAGATGACTTTGAAAGCCGCCTCGTTAACATCAATCTTGTGTTCTGTATCCAGAAGATGAGATAGAATAGCGCTATGAATGGATTTTGTTTGTCCTTTACTTAACCACGTTGCAGGATGGTGTTCGGAAATTCTACGAGAAACATGCCTGATTTTTCAGTCTATGCAGCTGACTGACTCCACAGGAGCAGTCAAAATGGTAGATAATTAAGGGTTATACATATTCGGAAACGAAGTTCTAATTTTAGATGACCCTTTCCTCATGAATATAAATTTGTAGGTTTAAATAGAAAGGAATAAGAAACGCTTATTTTTCAAAGAGTAGAACTAAGAATACTTTGTTGTTTTTGAGAAGCTACAGGAAGCAATTAATTAAATGTGTCACCAACCATACTAGTTAATGAAATCTAAAAGGACTCAGTTAACTGTTAAGCCACTTTTCTTTTAAGCAGGTGAATTTAAAATCTCCACGAAATGTTAAACGAATGCGTTACATGATAAACTGCTGTCTCACTGATATTATCTATACTACTTGTTTTATTCAATCGGTTAATAGTAATACATATGCTAAAATATATATTCATTTCAGTAAGTAGTCGATTTCTAATTAATAACTGTTTGAAATACTGTTAATTAGAGTGATTGGTTATTAGGGGGAATAACCACTGATGTGCGAAGATTCCTTGGTGTTGGTGCAGACTGAATTCCATCAGTTACGTTTGCTAATGTCGTCACCGAGTTAGGTGACTTGTCATAGAGGGGCACTTTGAATTTATGTTAAATGGCTGGAGTAAAGAATCGCTTTGATTGTTATATCAGTAAAAACCTCAATGAATAATATTTCACTATTAATTGAACATCAAAAAAAACTGTGTAGTCTTTCGAGATTTTTACGTAGAAGAAATAACTGTTGGTGCCATGATGAAACTGGTTATCTTGATGATATTGTCATAAGTCATGAGATGACTCAGGTTCCGTTTAACCTTCTCCCGTCAGACATATATATATATATTGAATCATTTGAATTCGAGAGAAACCATAATAGAGATCGATTTCAGGATTTCATCATGAACTGAAAGGGGTAGAGGACCATTGGAAAACCTGCAAGTACTGCCAGACAGCTGTTTTGTCCTAGTTTGTGACTCTTCACAGCACTCACCCAATGAGGTTTTCCAATGGTCCTCTAACCGATATCAGTTCATGATGAAATCCTGAAACCAATCAAATCCCTCCAAACCAACACTTAAATAGCAATCTAATGCTCACTAGTGACTGACTCTATTCAGGTAGGTAGCTAACTGGCTTCTAGTAGGAAGGCATGATCAGTGGGGTACAGCAGGTCGAGTGTGAGGACAAATACTCGCCAGTGATGACATTGGCTAGTGGTCGTGCTATATCATGAAGTTAGGATTAATGCAGTGGCCATTGGATCGGGTCCCAGTGGCTTGATTATTTACGAGCTTGTCTCGTAACCAGAAGGTCGTGGGTTCGAATCTTTTGTGGTGGGTATGTACTGATAAAGAGTCCCAAACTAGGACGAAAGAGCTGTGTGGTAGTACTCTCAGGTTTTCTAATGGTCCCCTAACTGATGTCAGTTCATGATAATACCCTGAAACCAATTAAATTCCCGCAAACCAACACTTGAATAAGGATTGAAATAACATCTAACTACTCATTTTAGTCTATTATTGAATGGGGTTCAGTCAATTTCAATCACATTTTCTGTTTGATCATTAGTTCGTACCATTTAATTACGTACACAAGGATGAAAATTAACTCTTTACTGAATGAGATTGTGCACAATTGTTACATTTTATCAATTCATCTATGTGTACAATTTATTTTTATGCATTCATAATTAGATGTACCTGTCAATCACGTGATGCACATGAAAGAGTTTACATTGCCCTATACGCATATATCGGATTTCTTAAGGCTATGAATTCGTATCGATGATTAGTCTCTATTTCATGTTATCTTTAACATTGGATCTTGATGTCTATTTGCTTCACTAGCATACATTTAGATATTTATGTTAATTTTGTCATAAATTTAATTTGCTTTATGTTGGATATAGGCAATAATACAGATTTGGTAAACACGCACACATGACGCGCAAAGCTTAAATCCTGTGAAATATAAAAGATTATCGAACTTTAAAAAAAGCAATATTTGAACAGTTTAGTAAAATGACACTTTCATCAATAAGAGTTTGAGTATAATACGTTAGAAACTGTGATCTCTTGTCTTTTACATATAACAACTGTTTCAAAGATATTACTTTGTAAAGGTCATATCAACACTGTTATCATTCTAAAGGTGACAAACTTGTGAGGAATCAATTAATTATCGAGTATTGGTTTGCAAGTGTCTGATTGGTTATATGTTTGACCACGAGTTAACATCAGCTAGAGAACCAATGGAAAACCAGAAAGTACTGGGAAGTTGTTTCGTCCCAGTTTGAGAATCTTCACCTCTGTGCACCTTGGTGAGAAGCTGTAACCAGCGATGTCCACCAAGTGAGGTAAGATAACAATCTCTTGCCTATCACACTGTCCCGCGTTTGGGCCGACTGGCTGAAGATAGCATTTATGTGCCACTGGATCTGGATCACAGTGGCTAAATGCTCCACGAACTCCCCCTTTGACTAGAAGGTCCTGGGTTCGAACCTCAGTGGGTGGGTTCTAACGAAGAGTCCCAAGCTAGGATGAAATAGCTGTGCAGTATTCACTGGTTTTTCAGTGGTTCTCCAAATGATGTCAGCTCGTGATCAAACCTGAATCAATAAATATCAAAACTTCTTGAGTGACTGAAAATTTTTAGATGAAGTACGCCTGAAAACTAGTGGAAGATCAGGTACTTGTCGAATGACAGCTGCATGATAAATGGCATAAACTAATGCTTCTGCGAAGTGTTATTTTTATAGGATAATTTGACTGCTTTAGGCATTTTCAGTGAATTCGGGTTGTAAAAGCTCAAGTGACTACAAAACAACCGATTAATTACTCAATTAACTGATGTTTAACGTAAGAATTCTAAGTTAAAATACAATACAATAATCTGTTGAACAATATGCGCCGAAACTATAAAATGTTTTCATTCTAGTCAAGAGTTAAATTGTCAGTTGTCATAGTATCAGTAGTGAAATGTAATTCCATGATTGTCATTTTAGGATTTAATCATGAACTGACATCAGTTTGAGGGCCATTGGAAAACCTGAGTGTACTACCACACAGCTCTTTCGTCCTAGTTTGAGGCTCTTCATCAGTACCCACCCACCACAAAAGATTCGAATCCACGACCTTCTGGTTACGAGGCAAGCTCGTAGACAATCAAGCCACTGGGACCCGATTCAATGGCCATTGCATGAATCCGAGCTTCTGCCAATTAATCATATAGTGCGACCACTAGCCAATGTCATCGCTGGCGAGTATTTACCCTCACACCGGAAGTGCGGTCGGTCGGTCGGTTTTCGACATAGAACTTTGCACATATGTGCGGCAGTTCAAGTCGCCACACTCCATGTAGCACACAAAGCAAGAGAAGAAAGTAGAAGAAATGCATAATATAGACAGTAAACAGAGGTGTGAGACAAAGGAATAGTAATAACGAAGAACAAAACAGTTTCATTGGAAATCATAAGTCACAAGGAGTGGATGCATCTGCACCAGCCACTGAGAACGATTTTGAGCCATGTCACCAATTGTTTCCAACCATTGGTTTTTACCGTCCCGAGGACCCCAACCAGGAAGTCTACATCTTCCTACGTGGCTTAAACTAACTGTTGTGGATTTCATTGACTGGTGCCATGTTTTCGTTTGACCGCCGCTAGCTCTTTTCCAGCCTGACCCTATATCAGCTAACATTGCCCGTCGAGGAAGGCGATGACTAGGCATACGTAACACATGTCCTAACCATCTCAGTCGATGTAATTTCACAGTTTCGTCGACTGATTTCCCCGCCTTACCTAGCACTCGACGCCTAACCTCAATATTGCTCACCTTATTATACCACTTCACGCGGGAGATAGAACGCAGACACCTATGATCGAAGACAGCTAATCTTTTCATGTCTTCTGCTCTCAATGGCCAGGTCTCACAGCCATAAAGGAGGACGGAGCGGACTGTTGAGCAGTACACACGCCCTTTGGTCGATAGTCGGATATCACGTCTACGCCAGAGACGGCGTAAACTGGCATATGCGAACCTAGCCCTCTGTATTCGTGCTGAGATTTCGTCGGAGATCAACCCGTTGGGGCTGATGGTACTTCCCAAGTAAGTGAAGCGGTCAACGTGCTCTACCACTTCACTTCCTATTTCTAATCTAGGGGTCGGTGAAGTCCAATCCTGCAGCATCATCTTACATTTTACAGGGGCGAATCGCATGCCAAACATACGAAGATTGTTGCTCAAGGTGTTCAGTAGACTCTGCATTTTGTCAGCGTCCTCGCCTAGAAGGACTATATCGTCCGCATATTCTAAGTCGACGAGATTATTCCCTGGTAGCAAGTCAATCCCTGAGTCGCTGAAGTGTGTTAGGGTTAAGTCCATTAGTACGTCTATGATGAAGTTGAATAGGAATGGGGATAATGGGCATCCTTGACGGACGCCACTAGTCGTCACCACTTCAGATGACAACTCGCCATAAGCCCTCACCTGGCTGCATGAGTACGAGTAGAGTGCCTTAATCAGTGCAATGTATTTTCTCGGCATTCCCTTTACAGCCAAGCATCGCCAGAGAACCTCTCGGTCGACAGAATCGAATGCCGCCTTTAGGTCAAGAAATATAATGATTGTCGGACGCCGGTAGGAATGCCTATGTTCTAGAATCTGTCGAAGGGTGAAGATATGATCAATACACCCTCTACCTGGCCTAAAACCTGCCTGGTTTTCTCGTGTTTGTGCCTCCCGAGCACCACTTAGTCTACGCAGTATTATTGAGCCTAGGATTTTAGATACTATATTAGTCAAGCTAATCCCTCTGTGATTATCACAAGAAGACTTGTCTCCCTTCTTGTATATCGGGATGATCAGTGACTTACACCAACCCGATGGGACTTCCTCTGATTCCCAGACGCTGCCTAGAACCTCAGTTAACGCAGACAGTAAACTGTCTCCACCGTACTTAAATACCTCTGGAGTCAATAAATCAGGTCCCGCTGCTTTGCCTTGCTTCAGATTAGTGACAGCTTTAGTAACCTCAGTTAAGGACGGAGGACCTGTGTCTATATCCCATTCAGGGAGGTGTTGGATGTTCGGCAGGTTAAGTGTGGCTGTGGGCCAATTAAACTGCTCCTCATAGTGTTCTTTCCAGCGCTCCAGACGTCTATCCTGGGAGCTAATTATGGTGCCATTTTTCTCCGAGATTGTTTCGCTTATCATTTGCCTTTTGCCACCTGTTTCCCTGATAAGCCTGAATAGTTGTCTGGTGTTGCCAATCGCCGATGCCTTTTCCATCTCTTTCGCTTTTGTCGCCCACCACTGTTCACGGTCCTTGCGAAGACTTTTTGTTAGTCTTCGTTTAAGTACCTTTCGCTCCTCATCATAATCGGAGCTCGCTGGAATCAGTCTTCTTGCGTCAATCAGTTCGGATGAGGCGGTAGAGATCCAGTGGCTTTTATTAACTTTAGGTTTTAGCTTATTGACAGCTTTCACGGCTGTGTCCACAGCTAACTGTATGTTGTGCCAGGCTACCTCAGGGGAAGTCCTGCTGTCGACCTCAGAAACTCGTTTCGCTATTTCTTCCTTAAATAGGGACTCAGTGTCTCGATCTAGTTGGGGACGTAACTGTTTCGCTGCCGTCAATTTCTTATGTCCATTTAGTCGTAAGCATAAACGTGCGCGAACCAGAGCGTGGTCAGAGTCTACGCACGTGTTCCAGAAGGAGCGACAGTCTTCTACTGACCCTCGCCAACGATACCCTATGGCTATGTGGTCTATCTGAGTCCAGCGTTGATTTGGTGATGGAGGTCGCCAGGTTACACAATGTCTTTCTTTGTGCCTAAAGTTAGTGCTGACTAGGAACAGATGATTATCTGAGCAAAACTGGAGAAGACGATCACCGTTGTCGGTTCGTCGGCAGGGAACTCCATACGTACCACCTACATACTTCTCAGTCTGGCACAACTTCCCTACTTGGGCATTGAAGTCGCCTGCTAAAACAACTATGTCTGAACGTTTTGCTTTTTGCAGCAAATTAGACAGTTTCCGGTAGAAGTCATCTTTTAATTCATCCGAACTGCAATCTGTTGGGGCGTAAGCGGAGACTACGAAAAGGCAACGACGGGTAGCGCCGTCTTTCCTTCTTTTAACGGACCCGTTCAGGCGGACCGCGCACATACGACTATCTACTGGGATCCAGTCAAGGAGTGATTTTTCCGCCCTAACACTCAGTGCTATCCCTACACCTGCGAGTCCTCGTGAGCTAGCTGAGGGGTCTCCCGACACCCTTAAAGTGAATTTTGCAGATTCACCTTGTTGACCGGGTGAGGTCAAGTGAATGACCACACTCGGGTCTTGTATGCGTGTCTCCGAAACACAACATACATCCATGGCTCTAGATTCCAGGGTTCTTGCTAGTGATGCCTGTTGTCCGATTTGGCAGAGGGTCCTGACGTTAAAAGCTCCTATATGAAGTTGGCGACGTGGCTTTAATAGGCTATCTGGGTTGTTTCTATGGCTCTCATCGTTGTTTGTGGACGCAGAGTGAAGTGAAGATGACTCACTAGCCTGAAGAATAGTGCTAGCTGTAGTAGAGAAGCAAGATGAGGAAGGTGATGTAAGTAGGGGAGAGTGATGCTCAGGTAGGCTTCGTGTGCTTTTGGAAGTGTGTGGGCGGTTGTTACTTCCCGGCTGCCCACACCGTGGAAGTTGGTTGGGTCTTCGGGTACCTGAAATAGAGAAGAGGTTAGTGTTGCGTGACCGCAGAGCCCAGGGGACAACTGCTTGAGGCCGGTCACACGCGGCCTGTTTTTGTTTGTTCTTATTCATTTGGTGTGTCTCAGTAGCGTATTTATCACTTCTGCCCTGTGACACGGCAGCAGAAAGCGCGGTCGTTGTTAATCCGGGCCCCGACCGATCCGGCATGATATTTTGTGGATTTGTTTGAATCATAGTGTAGGATTGGGTAGCTGCTTTTTGTCTAACCGCTATCCAAACAACCTTTCTGGCATGGTAGGACCTCAAGCGACATAAGTCTCAGCCAGTGTAGCTTGTTGGGTCATTGCGATATGCAAGCCCGACCACCACGTCAAGGTAGCAGCTATCGGCCGGGACCGGAAGTGCTGTACCCCACTGGTTAAGACTTCCTACTAGAAGCCAGTTAACTACTTATCTGAATAGCGTCAGTCAATTTTGAGTATTAGATTGACATTGAAGTGTTGGTTTGGAGGGATTTGATTGGTTTCAGGACTTCCGATTGACTTCTAATCGATATGAGTTCATGATGAAGTCCTCAAACCAATCAAATCCCTGCAAACCAGCACCTAAACTGTCATTTTAATTTATTGCAATCACAATGAAACACTTAGTTTTACTGAGTGTTGATCCAAAATACTCCGACCAATTATAATGAAAATGGTGCCAATAACCCTCTAATGCAGATCATCATTAAATGTATCGTAAACGAGTGATAATAAATTCGCTATTTTAATACACTGCAGTCAACAAATACAGCGTTATGGATGAGATATCCAAAAAAAGAAAATTAAAGAATTGCATAGAATAATGAACTGGTTTGACTCGACGAATATCTCTCTGAACTGAAATGCATATCTAACACACAACTTTGTACAAAATCTCAAGAAAAGTGATATCAACAAGCAAAAAATAGACAGAATTATAGAGTAATTATCGAGCCTCAAAAGAAAACAGAAGGAAGAGATTTTAAAGTATTTATAGTTCTAATTACCTCTGAGTTATGCTGGTGTGGTGTGCTTTCAGTAATTTCTGTTTAATATACTAGATTTTTCGAGCATCAGTTAATAGTCTCATGAACCTGTACGTCTGACACTAAATATACTTCTGAATCTTAATTAGTGACACAAATTTAGAAACATAATAACTTAGTATGACATTTTACTCGACAGGAAGTTTAGTGAAGGGAATTACCCATGTAAGTATTCATCAATAATTCCAACTGTTGTTTTGTAAATTAAATGGATGTATTTTAGTAAAGTGTGTTGCTTTCATCTAAATATTTATTCTAGTTTTCATAAACAGGAATACTATATGATAATTGTGCTTTGAAACAATGTTTCCTAATTTAATCTGTAACTCACCTGCCACTGTTTCATAACCAAGACCCTATCTATATTAACAGAGTAGTCGGTCCAATAAAGACACCAGTCTTCATCATCTTCTGTTTCTCGAAAGCCATATCTTTTCAAAACCCTGCGAACTTCAAAATTAAAAACAATAGAAATAATTTTCTTAACGTTATATTATCCTGTATTTATATTAGTAATTTAAGCAAGTATCTATGATGTCAAAAAATTTTCTATTTCAGTTGCGTTGAGAAATAGATCACATAACTAGATATGTGCAATATTAAATGTGGGACGAATATCTCGAAATGATAACGCCCCCCCCCTCAGTTAATGAAATATGAACAGCATCTCTTGTCACTTTTACTAAACATTAGTAAATATATAAAGTAACCATTCATACTTCATCCTTGGTGATCCTTTTCACAAAAGCTCTGGACATCGCTGAATATGATGTTCCAGTAATAACATGTTTCTAACATGTAACTGGCTTCTGAACATAGAGCTCTGCACGTAAGTGTACAAGTTCAAGTTGTTGAAGTTCAGTAAAAAACATTTAAATTAGAGAAAGCAACTTTTCTCGTAAAAACAAGCTTCATGATTACTTAGTTTATCGGCTTCACAGAATTCTCTGTAATAAAAGTTGTGCACTTATTAACTGCAGGCTTATATAATGTGCAATAATGATTAGACACTTGTTTGCCTAGTTTGACTGATTTGAAAGTAGATTTCATTGACACCGGACATCAATTAAGGAATCTTTGACAGTGAGCAGCTTCCTACTTCTTACTAAGAAATTATACAGTTGTTTAATCAGACGACTCGCTGAAAAATTAAAATGATATCAGTCAGGTTGTGAAACAGACATTCTACTTACAAACCAATATCCCAAGAGTTTTAAATTTTTCCGACTCACTACATGGCATGATCTCGATTTAATCTTACGGGGAAATAACAGTCCTTATTTTCAGACTATCAAATATCGCCCATGATGACTTTTCATAATAAATTTAGAGGATCCACCTGACATCTAACCATCGATGAGCAGTTAACCGGCAGCTTATTGAATTTAGGGGTTTTGTTTATTCTGAAATGACCTACAGATAACTACTGTACATACTCCTAGAATGTCTCTCACTGCAGTTAAGCCAATAAAATTATGCAGACTGACTTCTGGTGTTAAAGTCATCCCGCAGGTCAACATATTTCTATGTCATATCCCTCAATCATTATATATCAAAATTATGATAAGCTTCATTTTAAAGATCTACGAGAGACAGGCATGAAAGCAACAGACATCAAATGTGAAGGGTACCTTCGAAAATTCTAAAACCACTACTCGTCCCACTTATCATAAACTGAAAATTTGGCAGGTTATAAGAATCCAGATTTGTAAATCAGTCATAAGCTGATCAAGTTATTCATGAAAATCCACTCTTTCATATTTCTTCTACTTAGCTCTTGGACTTTTTTGAAAAAGTCCCATAGCTGATGTTTTAAACATTTATAACAACCGTCTCACGTCATTTTCGTCGCAAAACGATAAAGATTGTCACTTAGCTATAAAATCAATAAGCTGATAATACGTTCAGTCGCACTATAGGATTAGAAAAATACATGTAAGAATATTTTAAAGCCGAAGGATGTTTCATTGTTGATCATAGTGAGTTAAATTATTACAGCAGAGAAATTACGGGTAGGAACCCCAACGGGAAGTAGGTATCTCTTGTAGTAGAAAGTTAAGGAGGCTAAATCCTAACAGTTTCATCTATCGAAGAAAATTATGAATAATAAAATAGGGAGTTGTTAGCGGTTTTGCCAAAAGATAATTAAAGGCTTTAAAGAAATCAAAAAATGAGATTAAGTTGAATTAGACCGAGAAAATGACTATGTGTTAAACCTTCAGAAATTTTCACTGACAGACAAAATTGAGTTGCTTTAAGAAAGTGTCATCTAATTTAACATTAAAATACACTTTAGTCAGGTACAATAAATAAGGCCGGAGACTGTGATCATCTATCTAGATAAGTTCGTCACCAGTATCAAACCCAAAAGAGAAGGGTCACTAGAGAACAAGACAGTTTTTGACTAGGCCAGTTCACCATAGTTTTATAATTTTTTTTGTGTATTTATTTCATTTTGATAGTAACTGCTTATTGAGTCAAGTCGGGGGTCTTGGACCATTGATTGGCTGATTTATTCATTATTTGTCGGGTATGAAACAAGAGATCCAATGTAAAATGTAATACTGTGACAAAATCCTAGTTGTATCTGAGGCATCATTCCTTGTAAACTTTTATTAGCAGCCTCATGTAGTCAGTCAGAATAGATGATGGTAAGCAAATAATAATGAATAATTTGAACATCAGCTCCCACGTTTCGCAGGTGAATTAACGTTCATGGAAGATTTAGACCATACAAAGAGAAACTTAATTCAGTGTTTGTTGTTCTTGCTTCACAAAATTTATAAAAGCAACTAACTGTATTAAGCTAACATATACTTTAAAATAGACTGCGAATACAAAAACGTATTCGATCATGTAAGGTTTAATAACAGATCACACATGGAGAAGGAAGATAGCTCAAAAAATGCAGTTTTACACTGATAATTAAACCTTTTATGAGTCACATTATGAAATTACCTGATTCATACTTGCAATTCGAAAGATTTACTGTCAACTGTCTATACAAAAGATTTATTGTAAGAAAATCAGGAAATTCATTACCGCTTCTTTTTGCGTTTCTTGGAAGCTTGTCTACTCACTCCTGCTGCTGATTCATTGATTGTTTTATTCTTAATATGAGAATCACCTGATAAAAATTATTAATATTCACATATATAAACTAAGAACAAACAGGAGGATTTTTTTGATTCCGAATGACTTTTGTGTGAGTTCACATCGCTGTCAGTTTTCTCCCCCTCGTCTTCTGAGGGAAGTATGAGAATATTTTCCTCGTCAACTAGTCCTAGTGATGGTTGAGTGGACTGCTGTCCAGCTTTTTGATCTTCTGCGATCTCGTTATCTAAGATAGTTTCATCGTCAGAAGATGAATCTCCTGATGATCCTCCACATTCATCTTCTTTTAAGTGACAAAAACTAGGCAATTTACTGCAATGACTCTATGGAAAAACCAAAATTAATTATATATTCTTGCATTTACATTTAGAGTGTCATCCATTAACCTAAAAGAAGGTTTGTGTGTATTTGACTTAGTCGTTGAACTAAAGCATTATCTTCAAACCAGTGTCATTGGAAAAATAATAACATGTATCAAATTCATAATGCGCAACGCTACAGCTGACCTTAGCAACATCCATTTTAACAAACATTAGTCTGACAACGTTTCAATATGGTGATAGGCGAAACAATCATCAAAGCTGCTGAAACGAACCACGCCGACCTTAAAAACACCAGTATACAATATAAAATATTGCTTTACTAGCCAGTGTAAACCAATTTGATTTCTTTGAAGTCACCTCTTGGTTGTAAGGTAATGGTTCCTGGTCTTCGGTAAACTTCTGCATAGAAAATCCCGCAGCTCGACTGTCAGAGCTTTGGTAGGCTCTAAAAGGATTGGTGCTGGGATTGCTTACATGTGGTTTGTAGTATGCTATGTCTTAAGACCGTGCCGTTATTGTGAATGGGGTTGATACTTCCACCCATTAGTCGTCCGGTGTGGTTGAGAAAAAAGATAATAATAATAACAACAGGTATAATTGGCTTAGAATGTGTAGACTTAAAAAAATAAAGAAAAAAGCGTTGGCACATATAGCTAATGGAATTTGAGACAGATATATATGTAATTATATTACTAATATTAATAGTGTTAGGGAAATAATAATTGGAGAGGTCGGAAGAATATGACAAGGGATAATGTGAAGATGTGATAAGGTAAGTCTAGGTGTACACCAAATAATTGTGCGTGAGTTTTAAGGAGGTAGGTCGCTAGAACGCAGTCCTTGTGTCGCTACATGATTGTCCAGTAGCCAATCAAAGCTATCCACAGACGGTGGAGTAGTTACATAGATAGTTCCAGAGGCTGCAGACCTGATGCGAAAAGAAGTGGTACTGAACTTGAATCTTTCTTCCCTGGCGAACTAACCTTTGTGGATTGCCATAAGTAGGCCCATGCGTGCTTAATGGCAGAATACCTATGTTTGGGTGGTTCTGGTCATTTGTAATCTTATAGGATGTAATTACTTTTAAACATATAGGAAACAGGCGCTTAGTGTGCGAAGACTTAGTTTCTTCAGTCGTTCACCAGATGATATGTTTCGGAGACCTATCACCCTTTTTATCGCCAGTCCTTGAACCCTTTTCAAAGGGTGAAGGAATGTTATTTGTTCATGTGTATTTCCATCAGAACAACATAGCTATAAGTTTCCTAATTTTTATTCCTAAGCAATAATATAAATAATCTACCTTCCTTCTCTGAAAACCTCTTCCTATCTTTGTGTTTTAAGTGGAAAAGAGTGCTTCAAGAGTTCGCGTTGTATTTTAAATAGTGGGACAGCTAGTCTCCCCTCTTTTCTGAGCTTTCTTCATCGTTTGATAAACCAGGAGAGGATTCTGCTTGACAAGCAGGTGTTCTGCCGCCTGATCACCAGCGCACACTTTTTAGATCTTCATTTGGTGTATTCACCTCTGCTAAATGAAAGTTTGCCCCAGTAACGTTTTGCACACTGTTATGCCGAAAACAACTAAAGAAATTACCAGCTTGCTTTCTCTCCCTTCATAATAAAAATCTATGCCTAATTATCCGCTTAACAACGGTCAACTTGCTATGACTCCTGTTTGAAATCAACAACAAGTCTAGCTTAAAATGTGTCACTTGTATTTTAGGCTAGCAACCCGCTCACGATTACACTGGACAAATGACCAATCTAATTCTCTGCGTACTAGTCACGGAGTATTTAGGTCTTCAGATATAATCGGAAGACCCATAGCCCATCTGCGTGTGGCCATAAATCTAGTTGTGCATACTGAAGGCTACTGCCAACTTCACGTACCCACTCGAGTATCCACTGATAGACGTGCAAACCGTTCTTTGCTCAGCGTGGTTGCTTTATAAAAGTCCACACTTCGGTAAATACTCAGCAGAGTTCTCCATCAAAACAAATTCAGAGAAACGTAGTCAGCTAGCCCTTGCTGTCATTACCAATGCAGTAATAAATTTATTTTCCTGCTCTAATTTTTCCATTTGCTTACTTTCCTCCGGTTTATTCACTGTTATTAATATTACTATTGTTGCTGTCGCTATTATTTCTTCTAAATTTTTTTCAAACTGAAGGTGAACTGCTGGAATAGATTATAATAAAGGTTTTTGTATTTCCCAATGAAATAACGCATTAGTACCACGGTCTTAATAACGACCGGAATTTCAGTAAGACTTAATCTAACTCTCATTTTCCTCAAAGTTAGCTAGAGGAATGAAAGGCGAGGATCTGGGATAGTCAGGCAGAAGTTTGACTGTGATAAATTGTAGGGATTTATCTGTGCACAGAATGGCGAGAAATCTGTGGTTCTCATTGCTTTACCTGCTGAGACTCTGCCACTGTCGAAAACACTTTAGTATACAATAAGCTGAGATGATCATCATGATATGTCGTTTGGGATGAAAGCATGGAGGACTATCTACCGTGGCTGTTCTGGACTTGTCTTTTCAATATCCACTCGCTTTTAGCCCCGTACTTCATAAAGCGAACACGAACGTCTTTCAAGCAGCTACTGTCAGCTACACGAATGTTTCAGAAGTCTCGCCCTTTCTAAAAGACACCGCATCAAATTTGTTGGACTACGGAAATGTTCTCAGGGATTTACTAATCCAAGATGAGTTTTTGCTTATTCTTCGCGTTGGGATCTATAGTTCAGTACTTTAGGTCAGGAGTAACCACCACACAGGTGTGAGACTGTTAACAGAGATGAATGCAAGCGAGCTGGTCTGATACTACATTCCACAGATTGGCTGATATGAATAGTGAGAAATTCACTCCTGCCAAAAAGTACTTCTTGCTAGCCGGGTAGATGACATTTTCAAGCGTCTGAGGCCAAGCTTATAAGAGGTGTACTTTTTTCGACTAAATTTGGAGGACAAATCACTTCAAACAACCTGAGCACTGGTCAGCTATCGGGGTAAATTGGTGATGTATAGAATCGAATTCGTCGTGAGTGAATTACATATTCTGGAGTGAGAAATCACAAATGATGTGACACTGACCGATGCTAGGAAGCTAGGTAGTTACCCTGCTTGAACGATTTTAAGGTCGTTTACGGTTGGCTTCAGCCAGAAATCAGCCTTGGGATTACTGTGGAGCCATCTGTCATGCTAGACCTCGGCTAGGCCAAACTTCCTACTAACACTTTAGTCTGGCCTATCTAGCCCAGTAACTAAACTGCTTCTAACCCAGCAACAACTAGTGAGACGACAATATGAAGCTTACCGCTGCTGAAGTGTGCATTTATTTACAATTGTAAGCAGACGCCATAGTGATGCACAACCACGCCACAAGTCATTGGCCGCGCTGTTGTTCTACGAAAACGCGCTTGACTGCAGTCTGATTTTAACAGCACAGTAAAACAAACTTACCGCTGAGAGCGAATTGGTCCAGATCCAATCGACGAACGTGTTTGGTCCCCCACACGAGCATTTGGGCTGCGTTACTGCAGAGCAAAAAAGACAACCACTGGTGTAAATTTCGAGGAATGCCTGGAGAGCATGGTTGCAATACCCCATCAAGACGTTGGGTACATTCATTTCGAACCTTTCCACTTACTGAATGCAGTGACCAGACCAATCGATACGTATTTCGTTCCCGTTCCATAACAGTAAATGTTGCAGTTCAATGGTAAACTTGCTTCCACAGAAATAAAAAACCACGCAACATTTTGATATTTGGAATTGAAATACCATATCAAACTGGTGTCAAAACAATACTGCGAGTGTTTCATAGTGCCGAGGAGATATAAATTTACTTTCGTTGACGGACCGTCTTGATTCAGATTATAAGGATTGTGGATTTTTGTACAAATTTGTAATTCCACTAAATATATTTTAGATACGGGATCTGAGGGTAAAATAGATCATTCAGGGCATTCTTCCAAATTTATTGCTTCGTATTTGTGGTTTGTTCATCATCAGTGACACTTTTTGACCAATTACACACATTTGCATAATGTCAAATTCGGGCATACAAGATGAATTAGCAGGAAACGTTCTGCAAACCTCACTAATTCTCAACACACTGGTCCTATATGACATCCTGCGACAAAAGGTGCCGGGATAATGTCCTAGTTGGGTCCAAAAGCAACTGCTTATCATTGATTTTCTCGTAATCGGAACTTCTTCATAGCTTAAAAGACATATAAACAACCCATTAGAAAACAAGGAGTTTGGTAATAGACTGTTCTACAAAGTGCAGCTTCACCGATGACCTCATCATGCGAATGTTAGAATTCGTAGGAAACAATAGATGTTTACATGTTTGTAGTTTGCATAAAACATATTCTCCTAACGTTATGTGTGGTTATGACCACACATGGTGAAAGCATTCACTATGTTGCTCATTACGGTCTAACTCATTCCAAGTGCGTATTCACGATCACTAACGTATCAAACGCCGCGTTCAAATGAACACCAGCAACATTATATTAAAAAGGTACAACTGAAATTGAAACAAACTTATGAAGTGCGCTAGCCGAAACGAACGGTGTAAAACCACGCAACTTATAACAGGACGATAGAAAAATGTGCAGTTATACAGTGGTATATATTTACCAAGCACACGTAAAATCAGTTCTTGTAAAAGTCTCATACAGGTACATGAATTGGTTTTAGAAACGTCTGGCTAGAGTTATTAAGCAGTGTGGCTATTCGCCATAATGATTAGTATGACGAATACTGAAATTGCCATCCTAGGCTTGAACCTATGATATCGCAAACTTGACTATCAGGGACAGCAATCTGTTCAACCATATTGTTTCCGACGATCTATACTTTACTAAAAAGGTAGTTAGAAGTCACTGACAGTTGATATTGCTGTTGATCATTAAGTACATGATGAACATTTTCGTACAGATGACTGACTAACAGAAGCACAGTTCCGCTTTGAAGTAGGTTCAGAATTTAGTTTCATTACATAGTGGCGCACTGATGATACAAATAGGGTGGGGAATTGTTATAACGTACAAAACTTGGGCCCTGTTACCTGATTTTGGTTGTTAAACATCATCTCAGTGGGGATTCATGATAAGGGTAGACATCTACCAGCACTACTGGTTCCATAAACTGATAGGCGGCGATTGC